ACCTGTCTATGAAAACACAACAAAGATGCTACACATCTGACAACTCACTCAACCTCAGGTGCATGTTAACAAAATATTAACTGGGATTTATTCAATGAAAGTACATCAGATGACACTCGCCAATATAACGGACTATCTTAATTTCTGCCTGGATATATGCTGTCCCAAACAAACACTATTCAAAAGCTTCGACCGCTTCTCGTCTCAAACAACTACGCAGGCAAAAATAAACATTGTATTAATGCAAAGATAAGTTAGGACTTAAAAAGCTTTAATCAAATCTGAAACCAAAAACCTCAGTGCTATATATAATCATACACTTTTATAATGCAAATCTCCTACCAACATGTGGACTTTTCAATGAAATTACTGGCAATAATAAGCCATGCAACGTTTTTTCCTCTTATGATGTTAATGCTCTTAATCAATCTTTTATACGCTCTCTTTATACTATAACTACTTCTAACGTTACTAATCATGTAGCTGATAACTTTCATGACTTTAATACTCTCCATGTTCCAAAATGTCTTAAAACGCTTAAGCCCTCAAGTAGCCTTGGCCCTGATGGTGTACCTGCCTATATTCTAAAACAATGTGCAGATGCTTTATGTTCTCCACTTACTAACATTCTAAATGCTTCTTTTTCCAAAAACGTTGTACCTGTTGCATGGAAAGACATTAAAATAGTCCCTGTCCCTAAACCTGGTAATAGCAAGAAAGTAAAGTTCAGACCCGTCATCACTTCCCCGTTTCCTTAGCTTATGGAAAAACTAGTACTTCTTAAACTTGAACCCTTCCTTAAAAGTTTTGAAGACCCCAAATAATTTGCCTATAGACAGGGTAGGAGCACTTTAGACGCTGCAGCCGTCTTACACAACAGTATCGTCTCATCATTAGATAAAGGTGCCAAATACGTTCGTTGCACGTTTCTCGACTTCACTTCTGCTTTCGACTTTGTACCTAGATGTCTCTTGCTAAATAAGCTCTCCATGACACAAACTGAGTCCTGAGTCACTAACTGGTTGCATTCCTACTTTTCAAACAGAATGCAGTATACCGTATACAAAGGTAAATCCCCCTCTGCTGTGCTCGCTGAAGCTGGTATCCCCCAAGGTGTGGTACTCTCCACACTTCTCTTTTCTTTCTTTCTTCCTACATGACTTACCATCTTCAAATGACATTAAATCTGTTAAATATGCTGACAACCTGACTGTATCTCTGCCTGTCAAATGTCAAAGTGACTTCTCCAAACTAAATGGCTTTTTATCAGAAATCAGCCAGTGGTCCAAGGAAAACGGTCTAACCTTAAGCCCCTCTAAATGTCAAACAGTCAATTTCACCTTTAGGCATAAATCTGACCTAAACAAACTGGTTAGCACTCATGGGTGTGCAACAGTGATGGCACTGAAATAGAGACCAAGTTGGAAATTAAATATCTTGGCGTCATTCTGTCTGCTGATCTTTCCTTGTCGTCTCATAACTTGATGATTTCTAAGAAAATATTCCGTCTTACCTTCTACATCAAGAAGTGAAGACATTCTGGTATAACCTAACCCTTACTCCTACAATTCGTTAACTCTCGTATTCTGCCTATTATTCTCTATTGTTCCCCCTTAGTTTTTCCAGGGCCGGCTACTGAAGAAAGACTATACCTTATACGCAAGATGTTAAAGGTTGTCAGCAGGGTAAGCGACGTGCCACTTAACCAGCTTGTTAATATTCTGGTCGACAGGTACTTGGACTCATGTGAAAAATGGGCTAAATCCATTTGATCTGACTTACAGCACCCTCTTCATTCACAACTCTCCCCTCGTATCTCATCAGGAAAAACCAGAATCCTATATAGAAAACTATATGCTCGCACTAGCAAGTAAAAAACTCAACCATACCCTACTTAGCTCGTGCTCTGTGCGATAAAGAAAGCATTAGGCGTGACACCTATAACTTATTAAATACTTAGTAGAACAGCTGGATCCCGTCTTTCCAACCCATATCATTTATAGGTACAACGTTTTCTTTCTTTCTTTTCCTTGTCGACACGCTAACAAATTACTTTATTTTTTGACGAGTGACTCCACCCCTATTATAAGTACAGATAGCAATACTTTAAGATGGTAACCTATCATCCTTATATTTTGTTACACTATGGCTTGGTTACAACCAGAAGACTGACTGACTGGTTGCAAAGCACAACTTTGCACAGATGTGCAGCACTTCGATTTGCCACTCTCCCTTAATGTTGCACACAAGGCAACAGAAGAGAGTAATGACAGATTCAAAAGGGAGAGATATAAAAAACAGGAATGTGAGGCAAAAACAATATTAATATGCAAGATCAATAGAATTTTATTGGATATCGTAAATAACAAGGAGTGAATGCATCTGCGCCAACCATTGACGATGACCACTTTGAGCAATATAACCAATTGTCTCCAGCTGCCACCATTGGTTATTACCATCCCGAGGACCCCAACCAGTCAGTCAAGAAGTCTACACCTCCCTCCCTACGTGGCTGGACTGCTGGCTAGCTTAAACTAACTGTTGTAGATTTATTTCATTGACTGATGATGAAGCCATATTTTGGTTTGACCATCACCACTAGCTAACTCTTTTCCAACTTGATCGATGCTATGACAGTGAGCTAACACTGCCCGTTACCGAGAAAGGCGATCGATGACTAGTCCACGCATGCGGAACACATTTGCTAACCATCTCTCTCAATCTATGTAACTTCACAACCTCGTCGGTTGATTTCCCCTCCCACTCAACCGACGCCTGACCTCAATATTGCTCACCTTATTATACCATCACCTAACACTCACGGAAGGCAGATGAAAGAAAGTTAACTAGCCATGCTTTTCATGTCTTCCACTTTCAATTGCCCTATTTGGGGACAGAGCGAACTGACTGCTGAGCAGTACACACACCTTTTGGTCGACAATCAGACATCACGTCTACTAAGCCAGAGACAGTTTAAGTTGGCAGGCATATGCCAAACGAGCCTTCTGTATCCGTGCTGAGATTCCCTCAACGATAAGCCCGTTGTCGCTGGCTGATGCAACTCCCAAAATAGGTGAAGTGGCAACACGCCCCATCAACCACTTCACTCCTGCCTATCTTTAAGCTAGGAGTAGGTCGATGTAGTTCAGTCCTGTAGCATCATCTTACAATTGCCAAAGGGAGCGAATCGCATTACCAAACATTCGAAGATTGCTCACTGCTCAAAAGACTCTGCTCTATTTTGTCAGCGTCTTTACCTAGAACGACTATATTATCTGCATATTTTAAGTCAATGAGATTATCCCTCCCCCCCTTCGGTAACAAGTCAATTCCTGAGTCAATGAAGTCAGTTACAGTTAAGTCCATTAGTACATCACTAGGGGGCTGAAACCTAATGTTGAACAAAATGTATGTTAAAATGGTATTATTACTTGTTAAATTATGTTATATGTTGTATGCAGCTGACAAGATCAGACGAAATACAATGAATTTACGTTACTCTATTATACCTACATTTATTCTTTCTCTGTTCAAAGTTATACAAGGGAGTTCGTGTATGAAGAAGATCAAGTACTTTAAGCCATTTGACTACACACCCATTTAACCAATCAGGAGGATTTAAATGAACTGCTTTCTGAAGTATATACATGTAGACTAGATATTTGATTAGAAATTGGGGAATGGAAATATCGTCATCATCATTACTGAGTATCACATACATTAACAAAAACACCTCACAAAGATTATGCGGACTTATTTTGCTTATATAATTATAATTAGAAAAGATGAATATGGTATATTATAGGCACCGAGACCAAATCAGATGGTTGCCTTAAGAGATCAACGAACCCCAAGTTTTGACTTAAAGTCTGATCCATACAGCAGTAAAGCTGCATCTTCACTGGTGCTGGCAACTAGGCTATTCGATCCCCGTTAAGATTTTCGAGGCCATGTAGTAAACAATACAGGTTTGGAATCAGGGTTTCCCAGCCCCCTGAACCTAAGTGTAGACCTGCATGACCATATTCACACTTTCACTTTCGTGAAAGCCATTTGAAGTCAAAGAATGGGATTTATCAGGCAGAGGCTAAGAACGAATGACCATGTGAGATTACTTTTGTGGTGAGAACTGTCTGCAAGACAAAATTGTAGACAACAATTGACGTCAATGTTTACGTCCCAAATCAGGATCATGAGAAAAAACAAGAACAAAGCCAAACCTTGAGGAACTCAACAACCAATCATAGCAGACTTAACGTGGGCGGATACGATCAGCAGATATATATCACCGGACTGTCTAAGAAACGGTCACAAGCAGTACAGAAAAACCTTCAGCAGGAAAACAACCAATTAGAAGACGTTGCTTTCCTGCTAACAATAAAGAATAGTGATGTACATAAAAATCTATATATATATCTTTTGATTTTCTCAATAAACGATCTGTTGCCTGGCACTTGTCTTATGTTGTTACATTTTAAGAGGAAGACCAAAGTCTACCTAACTCTTGGGAACTTCTTTGTAGTTTATAACTATCGACGAAGAATACTCACTACCCTCCACCCCCCTACCAACACCATACACATACTCTCTTTCTCTCAGCATCTTTCAACAATTTAGTTGGTGGACGGCGACTAGCAGTGGAATCCAGGATGCGCATTTCGTCCTATTTGGGACTGTCTCGTCAACTGGATGTGCCTGCATTCCCCAGTGAATAATGATGTTCCCACCGAGGCTCGAACCCAGTAGTGCCCATAGTTTCAAACGCCAAAGCCTTATTTACTAGACCACTTGGGCCACAAGAGCCACCTCTTGTGCAACGGGTCATGTTAATTATTTAATTTAATTTTAGATTTTCCCGTCAACTGATTGACTGGACCAAAGTGCTCGGTCTACTCAGGCTGACATGTCAGCTTCTTGTGAAAATGCTTCGACGACGTCTGGGCATACAATTAGAGTTTAACAAGGCTAAAAATTCTAATGAGAAAGTGAAGTGAATAAAATGATATCATCTTCTTATCATCTTTGCTTTATTGACAAGCGTAAAAGAAAGAAAAGAAAAATGTAACGCTATCTTTTAGATAAACGAACACACACACACACACTTGTGACACTCTACTAAAGAAACTCTATTTTTTCCAAATTAAGTTAGATACAGAAATCAAAACTCTCTACACACCGCCTCAAGTTAGTGTTAGGTGTTCTCACAAGAAGAAGAAAATAATAGTAATAGTAATAAACACTACACAATTTGTTAGAGCCAGTATTATATAATACACAAAACAATCAAGCTAGCATTTGATATCCGTGAAAACGGTAAGACAGAGACAAACAGACAGAGAGAGAGGTCAGACAATGAAAGCATGAAAAACTTAGAGAAACAGCTTTACAAAAAATATTATAATAAACAGAAAAAGAAACAATACTAGGAGGTTATGCCCTACAGTAGGCCTTAACCTTATGAGTTCAGAGACTTGCGCACGCGCACACATACACACACACAAAATGAGTACCTCTGTATCACCCCGCCTCCTTAAATTATTATTATTATTCGAAACCTCTTTCAGTAACAATAAAAAATAAAAAACACGCTGAATATTTGTAAAAACAAGGGGAAAGGCTTTATTATTATTATTTTTTCTTAAGAGTCTGAAGAGATATTAGCTTGATTGGTTGTAGTAGTCGTAGTAGCAGAAGCAGCCGCAGCTGCCAATCGTTCACCAACTTCACGTTCTCTAACCGAAGTATCAACTGGTCGAGCTTGACCAAATATTTTAGAATAACGTTCAGATATGTGTTCATCATTCGACTCTTTTGGTATAGTACGAGGAAGTAGATTAAGCTTTGGTGGGGCATCTGTTGATGGTATTGTTGATTTAAAGCCAGATTCTAAGGATGGACGGCTTTGACTTGATGGTGTAAAAGCAGAAGATCTGGAAGCACCTGTACGGCTAACAAAACCTCTCTCCCATGATGACTGATTATCATCACCGCTATCTCTGTAATATTAACACACAAATATAAGAAGAATTAAATACATGAAGATGGAAATACTAGTTTAAGAATAAAAATTCAAATATTCTTGGTAGATTTAGTAGTTTAGTAGGTCACCTAAAGTGAAAATAGAACTAGAGGTTGTGAAGTTACACTGATTGAGGGAGGGATGGTTAGGACATGTGTTCCACATGCGTGGCCTAGTTATCGATCGCCTTCCTTGACAGCGGGCAATGTTAGCTGACTGTCATAGCATAGGTCAGGTTGGAAAAGAGTTAGCTAGTAGTGATCAAACCAAAACATGGTTTCACCATCAATCAATGAAATAAATCCACAACAGTTAGTTTAAGCCAGCCACCCTAACTAACTGACTGGGGTCCTTGATATGGTAAAAATCAATGGTGGCGGCTGGAGACAATTGGTGATACGGCTCAAAAACGTTCTCGATGATGACGCTGTTTGTGATTTGTAAGTCATATGCAATAAAATTCTATTGTTCTTCAATATTACTATTCTTTTTGCCGTATATTTCTGTTTATTACCCCTGTTTACTCTCTTCTCTTGCTTTGTGTGCTACCAGAAAAAAGTGTGGTGACTAGAAATACTGCACATGTGCGCGAAGTTCTAGTTTGAAACCAGTCAGTTGGTCAGTCAGTCACATAGAAAGAAAGCTTACCAGTGAACATAACAGCATACTGACTGACACATATATGCTCTTAGATGGATATTTACTTATCTATTTTAAACGAAAACTTGCCACATAATGGGAAGCTAGTGAAGCATTCATAAACGAACTAGTACGGTCGAGGGTGACAAGCTTCAATCTTCTCCTCAAAATGCCCTTCTCGTGTGACCACGCGCCTATAGCCTTTGTTGGATACGTCCTGAGGATGTTCCTCACAAATTTGAAGAGGCGAATGCAAGGCTCTGGCACTTAGAACCGGAATGGTAGACATGCAAGTTTATCTACGGGAGTTGGAAAACATCGTGACTCCAAACTTGTGGTTTAAATGACCTCTGGTAATTGAAGATATGGATTGGCATGTGAAGCTCAGCTGACTCTACCGCCACACTGTGGATCAGACTTTAAGTCGAGTGGCCTTTTCAGACAACCAACCGTTTTGGTCTGGATGTACAGGCAGCATTTCTCCCCCAGCCGTCGAACAAACTATGAGACAACAATTCATGAGATTATAACTGCACACTCTTGCATGAATGCCTGAGTTTTCGATCTATGTCTTGATTAACCTTATATACTTCTTTAACACCTTGTCCATAATCAAACATGAGAAAATCAAATTTCACCTTTATGTGAAGAAAGGGTGAGGCAGTGATAAGCATATCTGTGTTGCGGAACATATCGAAGAGTGATTTGATCGATGTACCGCCTTCCGAGACCAGAACCTTATTAGTTTTCCTTGAAACTTTTATTTCTATGCCCCACCTAATTTACGTACGGATGCTAGGATATCCAATATTATACTAATCAAGTTCATTGGCCCTACAGTTATCAGAGAAATGCGATGATCAATTATATGTACACGCTAAAAAGATTACGGTTCAGACAATATAAACATGGCCCTTTCTAATAAACGGAGTCACGATATCAGTGCTATATTGTAGAAAAGAACTTAGAATAAATTTACAAAAAGTAACACACTGGATGCTTTCTTACTCCGTAAACACAGTGAATAAGAAGTCTAGTCAGTGGATAGTGGATCGTATTTATCCCACTTTATGAATTCATATAACATTTTCTCATACTTATCACAGGAGGAGAATGCGTTTAGGGATGACAGACTACCATGTATTCGTCCAATAGGAATTAACTGCTGTACAGGGACGCAACATTCTCTTCAACGATATTGAATTATAAGCTTGCCACCTTGAGACTCTAAGTAGTGGTTGAATGCTGTGAACATATATTGCAAATATTCTTCTAAGCACAATTATTGTTGTATTCGGTTTTTTTGGATCTGGAAGTGGTTGAAAAACTGGAGGGGGGAGGGAGAACTCAGTCTATGAGATAGAATGAATGCAAGCCAGACAGTTGCGCCCAATTACAGACAACACATGACACAACAAACTGATTGAGTTTCAATGTAGAACTTTGCACAAAAGTATAGCAGTTCAAGTTGCCACACTCTCCATATAGGGTAAAAAGAAGAAATACAAAATGAATATTATGGACATAAATGTATCGGAGAAAGACTAATTAAATAATAAGCTAATATAAGGATTTAATCGATTTGCGAGATCACATAGTGAAGAAATCTGCACCACTAAGAACGGTTTTGAACCAGATCACCGAAAGTCTCTAGCGATTGACGACACAACACATGGAAAAGTAGGACTCACAGTTTTTTGAGTGTAATTCCATGTTAGTTTGTTTATTAGATGTATCACACAGTGAAACAGTATTATTAACTGGATGACGTTTCAAACAAAATTAATTGTTCATAATCATATCTCCACAACTTTGAAACTTGAGTTTTACAGTTTTATTTATTCTTTCCTATTTGTCATCGTAGGGGTAGTAGAATTTCCCAGATATCAGGGACAGGTGATGAATCATTCCTATTACATGTATTTGCAGTTGATTCGATAAACAAAGCTTATGTTATCAATCTCCCCCTATACCCTGTGACATTAGATTTTAAAACTATCATCTTATCCCATCATATTGTATGGTCAACTAATCTAGATTTTTCTAGGTTTTTATGCTCGGCTAGTCTGACTGCTCCTGTTCTACTTCTTTGACCTGACAATCATTCCAGCAGGGTATAAGATGAACTAAATTGTTTTGTTTTAAAGGCTCCACAGGATCCTTTAGCAAAAAAGCCCGTTTCTAATGTAGTTTATGGGTTTGAATACCAGCCACTTTTATTCCGGCCTTGTTAAGAATTATGCGTAAGGCTTCCGAGGTTCCTTCCTTGTATGCAATTACTACTGATGATTTTGATTCCTTATTGTTGGTATTGTCTTGCGCATATTTGATATGCATGTCGTCATTAGTATCATTATTATTATTACCACTACTATCATTATTTATTTTATTTTTACATTTCCCTACATACTTTCTGACTAATTTATCAGGGTAATTATTGAGTTTCAAAGCCTCTCTTATATGTCTCACTTCCTGTCTTAGGTGTTCCTTGGTACTACTTAGTTTTGTGCTCTACCACATTTCACCAATCCTATGTTCACCGAGTGTAGTTTAATAATGTTTCCTATGGTTATTTCATTATTCGATCAATTAATTTTGCCTGCATATTTTTCAACTAATCGATATTGCGTATTTTGTGGTGAATATTATCTACCTCTGATATACTTTGAAATGCTAAGTAGTTTTTACATGAGACGTAGAGAGAGTTATCTCAAGTGAGCCGATGAAGGAATAAACACTCATGGGCTAAAGTGTCAAGAGTATGTCACCCATATCTGGATACCGCCTTCCTTGACAAATGACGTCAACTGAAGTAGAATTAGGTTTCAAAAGTGAAACTAGAACGTGTCACCGACTTGTTGTTGTTGCTGTTTACGACAGCTGGTTCGAGCTGCTTTAGTTGCCTTGCTGAGATCTTCAGTGTTAAGAATAAATAGAAATAAATTCTTGGTGATATAACTCAAAGTCATCTACAATAATAGAGGAATATTATTTTTATTGGGGACCCCTTCCCTTTTTATTTGTATACATGTTTTTCTTTTCGTGAACATGCTGCATCAAATTTGTTTTTAATACACAAAACAGGTTTTATGAATTAAAGATAACCTACCGAAGTGAAGGAGGTCTATAGCCACCCCGTTGACGATCAGAAGGCACTTCACTACGACGCATACCGCCAAATGCACTCTTTTCACGCCCAAATCCACCACGTTCATTCTATGAGTTAATAAAAATATAAGATTTATTGTGAAGTAAACCAATGTTAACTCAAAAGTACAAGTAGTTAAGTGTGTGTGTGATAACTAGTAGTATTATTATGGTTCCCTTGGGTTCCGAGTGGAACACAGGCCTTTAACAACACATCTTCACTTTGTTCTATTTTCTGCCATACTCTTCAGATGGGTCCACGAATGGGTCGAATGACATTGTGCACAATTCAGGCCATTACTAGAGTGGAATCCAAATGGAAAGCCAGTGACGAGTGGGTCATCCTTTGGTGACATAGAGGAGGTCGTGCGAAGAAGAGATGAGAGAGTTTGGGCATTTAGAAAACAGAAAGATAGAGCGAAGAAATATTTACTTTTCAATTAGATCCTCATCTCTGGCGCTACCCTAATATATTACAACGACGCAACAATCAGTGTACATTGAAGCAAACAATCAATTAGATAGCACTACTACACTAGAAAAGGATAAGTGGGCACAATATTACGTTAAGGCACACGGTTACTTAGCTATTCGACTTGGACTAAGATATAAACGTCCTTTTTTCAGTTAGATAAAACATCTATTGGTATTAACAGCTATTTCAATAATGGATAGAAGTGACTCACTACATTCGTGTACTACAAATTTTATTTTACGAAAAATTCAGTGTCTTTAGTACGCACGGAAGCAACGCGACTATATGACAGTAATTTTTCATGACATAAGTGTAACTAATTACCAATAGTTAACCCATCCATTTTCATACATCCAAGCGGCGTACTTCATAAAATTTAGTTCATGCTGCCATTCATGTACTACAGATGAGTATGTCTATACCAAGTAATTCAACAAAGATTAAGTAATATAATTTAAACTCGTTTTCCTTGCACAGAAGTTACGCACTTCTGGAGTTTCGTATCACATTTTAATTTAACTGTGTTGGAGCATATTTCGTCTGATTACAAATCTAATTTATGTGGGATCCCAAACACTTGCAATAATGTAAGGGCATAAAGAACTTTATGCCTAGTATCGCTGCTTGCTTTGTGACACCAACAACCACTAAGGACTTGACCAGTTACTTAGAATAATCAGCACAACGCATTCAACTGTCTATAAGCACAAATGTTCTATCTGAGACAATCTGTTTCTACTGAAACCCTAAGAAAATGTAACCAGTTATTTGTACAAAACCAACATAACTAGCAACCATGAACTAGTGTTTCAGCCGTCGTCATCTGCGATGAGGATCTACTGACAACTAGGTATTCAAAACCATAATATTGGGCTCCGCAACTTTTGCATATTACGTCGATATTTCCTGGGGATATTCAAATCAGAAAATCATTGAATTAGGGACAAATAATATATGATAATATGAACGAAGATAAGCACATTTCACTTTGTCAAATTGAGCAAACGTACAGGTGGCTATAGAAGTACTAATCTACGTCTAGAGGTGTAACATGTGTCATAGTGTTATTTAAGGTTTGCAGAAGATTCACCTCGTTAGCGTCTGCCTTACAATGAAACTAGGTTATTTAAGACACAGACCAACAAATTCACCCCCCCAGTTTCGAGAAGGTCCTATGTCTAAAGAACTAGGATAAATATATCTAATGAAAACACAATTAGATATAACGAACACACAAATTAAAAAAAAAACTAAAATCTAATTCGTGAGTTTCCCTATCCATGTTTGGACTCCAATTAAAAACCCTGTCTCGGACATATTACTGACTTTATAAGCTTTATAATAATTTTTTGCGTTTTAATGTATTATCTGTACTCCGTTTGTAGGACTGGTATGTTAGTTTAAAGTTATCAGATGAAGGGAGACACTGAGTTCCAAAAAAGGTAAATCCATACCCTTAAATATTGTGGTTACGCCTAAATATAAATAGCCTGAAACTCTGCTAAAGACCTTTTTATCACATCATTCGGATATCTTACGTTATTTGGAGCGGCAATGCGGACATTAACTTGTCGACCAGCAAGTGACGAGTCACTACGTTGTAATGCTTTGGCCAAGTCTTCGCGACTCGCGAAATCAACAAAGCAGAAACCACGTGACCCACTGTCCCCACCAACAATATTTATATTTGTTACCTGGAGAGGAGAAAAGAAACTTGAAAATATTGACATAAAAGAATTAGAAAATAATTACTCTGCAACATCTTGTTCAGTGGCCGTATATGACACATTGTAAACAAACGCCCTGAAGGGTTTCTCTGTAGGAAGCTTGGCCAACTCACTCTCAACTGAGGAAGTCGAGGTGAACGTCGGCAATTTCGCCCTGATTTTTTGTAGCTCTTCTGCTTTTTCTTTTGTTAGATTGAGCTCCGCTAAATTATCTGTGGGGTCCATATCAGCTATCTATATGGAGTCATTATGAAAAAAACAGATATACTGTGTTGCTGGAATAAACAATATCCACATCGACGCTTTGATTGAAACGATTTTTCTTTGTCTTTTTTCCCATTTCTAAAAATCAATCAGTCACATGTACCGCCGAAACTACTTCGAAACACCCACGCCTTGAAAAGTATTCCTTATATTTCCAATGTTAGATATGTGAATTTTCAGAATTTATTTCCCAAATATTAGGATGATATGTCCACTTTGCACCTTGTGGTATAGCTTTTGGTGAATCCTGAGTCTTTTTTCCAACGAAACAACAGGTGCTGAGCCTACGGTCATCTAAAAGCCGGTCGTAGCTATGTGTGACGAGAACTAGTTTCTGCAGAAGGCACGTGAAACCTTTCGTCCTTTTTCAGCATTCTACTGAGATGTCTCTCTTGAAGAACGGCAGCGCGACGTTTGTATGCACCACAAACCACAGCTTTTTCTTAGGTTTTACGAAACCTAAGAAAAAGCTGTGGTTTGGGTATATTCATTCATCTTAATGTTAGGTGTACAGTGGCATATATCCTGGCCACGTCACGCAGATAATTTGGAGTTGTATCTAAGTTTTTCTTTAGAATAAGATCTAACTCGCTCTGTAACAACTGGTAGCTACAAAAAGAGTAAGTGGTCCTTTTGAGTGATGAGATGCCCAGCTATACACCACTCAGCACAGTAAGTTCTATAAAACCTAGAACCCCTCGGCAAGCAATTGTTGGATGAGGGGTGTGGGGGTACGAGACAAGTGGCCAGGTAGAGACTATACCTTTATTTCTCGAAAGGTTTACAATCCCCGCTAAATTGTATTCCACGATGAACACCTCTCCACACGTTTGATTAGACTACCAGTGTGCTCAGGAAGTGTAGGTTCAACTTCGACTACTGTCGTGTCGATTCATGCATGACAATGGTCAGCTGACTCGTGACTAAGTTAATACAAAGACTCAATCATCAAAAGACCATTTTTGTTTCTGACAGACATTCCGTCTAAAAATTATTGTGGAGTAGTCTGCAGCTCGTTTAAGCATTCCAAAGACATAGCCCCTCCACCACCACCCTGAATTTTCACCACGTTAGCGTAAATAATATGCGGGATCTTCTGATGGCATATCAGGTGTCAATAAATATCAAGAACATTAGGTTTGCTGAATATGTGATTAGGGGTCCTAAATTAGAACAGTGGGACTGCAGATGCGAAGCTCCGCCAGGATAATCAGATATGATCAGCATACACATGGGACTCCCTCCTATCAATGCAACCAGAGAACAACGGAGAAAGCATGCTACCATTTCTTTTCTGGTCTATTTTCGTTAGGACAATGTCATGCTGAACGCCTTCGGAAGCTTCCCAATAGTCAACAGAGACCACATAATATGGGACACTCACGCACCAGCATAATGTCTAGCCATCCCATGCTAAATATATATATATATGTATATGTTGAGTGTATCTAACTCCCCTGAAGCCATGTTGTATGTCATGAGGTTCCTTGCCTGCATCAAAGGTTTTCTGGCATATTCATGATCCAGGCTTTTAGTACCCTCGTCAACACATGGGGTAATCGTACAGGGTAATAATAAAGGGTGTTGTTGATTTCCACCCTTGAAAATAAAAGAAAAGATTATTCCATCCCACTTCTTAGGACTTTAAACCCGAGTTTCTGAGATGCCGGAACAAGTCGCACAGGAGGCCATATAAGGGATTCTGCCCAATAATTCTATGAAGATGCATGAAAATCATTGTAATCCTAGCACTTTCTGCCGTTGATTTTCAGCGATTTATTCACTGTATGACTTTGTCGAATGACCTACAGTTTTCGTTTGGTGATTTTATAAAGCGTTCCCTTAATCTTCTAGCGCTTTATATTGGTTACCTCACTGGGTTGAATGTTTTGGCGAATTCACTGCTAGTGAGGTGCTGCCTGCCCAGACCCTTAAATATTTATGGCTTCTGGTTGGTGGGGTTTGTTCCGAAATCAGTCATTATTAATTATTAGGGTTAACAATGTTTGCCCCCAGTGACATCCTCTTTTCTCCTACCATTGTGTACCAGTGGTTCACACTGCCTCATGATAAGCCTCCTTCCAGAAAAGCCAAACTGATCGAATAGACATTGACAATGAGGAGTTCAAAAGCTTTCCCTATATTTTAGATTCCATTCTCAGAATCCACTCCAATATACTCACATGCTATTTGAAAAATGAATATGCTGCTTAACCATAGCAGTCCAAATTAGAGCTGATTTACCTTAGGAGTAATGTTAATAACTTATTAGACCTTGAGAAAATGCTATTCTTCGGCTCATGGCTTACAGTGACTTATGATTCCTTATTCTTAGCAGCCACTGGTAATCCTGCAGACTATTATGCATATCTTTACTGAGTAAGTGACACGTAAAACTGCGTACGCAACACCTACTGGACTGTCGATAAATGCCCCTTGTATGCGAGTATATACTTCGTGGGGAACATTAGCCTACTCAGCGTTGTGTTTTTAAAAAGTCACCAATAATTTCGTGCTCTTCTAAAAACATCCTCAAGAAAAGTCACTAATTCTGTATTGAAGTCTTCAAGAATGCAAGGCCAAAGTAGATCCAGTGAGAAGGTAAAGCGGGAAACGCATCAGGCATTCGTGCTGAAAAAAAAGATGAACTGTCGTATACCCATACATTGTACAACTGGCAGAAGTGTGATATTTCAGCCTAGTGCCACGGTCTCTCGCGTTTTAGGCTAGGGGTTCACTTGCACGCGCCGATATTATTCCTACCTGAATGGGCTGGGTGACAAGTGGCAACAATGAATTCTGGTGCTGGGCATGCAAAAGGTTGTTGTGAGAAAGGTGACAAGCTATTTAGCCATGAAAGTCGTGCCTGCTTCTACAGGAGTTATTCCTTAAGAAGTATTCATGCTGCAGGTTTTCAGGAATACTTCACGGTCGGGGAATTATTCTAATAATTTGCGCTAAAGCTAGCCTATGTGGCTGGTTTTGCACTAGTGTGATGATTACATGGTTGGGTTGTTTGTCTCCTCTATTTCAACCCACACTTGAGGGCTCAGGTCCTCCCAATGTCAATACCTGTTTTGGCTTCGACTGTTGTTTGCTGACATACTGCTCGAGCTTTTCTAGACTTTAAGTCTATTTATATTAACTGCAAACTAGATGATCTAACCGCTGCATCATTGCTGTGCCCGTTAATACACCTGGAAGTTTGCACTAACGAATTCCTGACCTAAATGATTCACGAGTCTGCTTTTCTAATAACTGTTAGCAACATTAATGCCAGAAACGATACGACGAGATATCGACAAAACATCGACGTAGTAGGACAAGAAGGAAAGACAGGCCATCGACACAGAGTTTCTACTACCCCTTATCAACAGCTAAAATTATGGACGTCATTTACGTATGTATACACTTTGAATGACTTTGAGAAACACCAACCACGTTGGCTGGTTAAGATGGCCGACAGCCGATAGGGTTCCAAGGTCACAAATATTTATAGGAAATAAAAACAGCAGTGTGAAGTGAAATGCAGTATTTTAGGAAGGGTAGGTCTTAATAACACCTCCCCTGTCAAGGAAAAATAAATGAGCGTGTAGGATAAAATTAGTGCCTCAGCATGATCTCAAACTCCTTTACAAATTGGAAATAATCAGCCGGGTTTCCATCAAAACACCGTGGTTCAAATTTAGGGAGTTTGATGTTCCTATTATCCCTGAACGGCGAAACAGTAACATCAACCATGTCATGCTTAACATCAGACACATCGTTACAAGTAACAGACAAGTCACCATGACTTACTTTCCTGTTTGCATCCAAGACACTCTGTCCTTCTTTGACCCAGGCACTGTTGAACTTGAACCAATTCCAAAAACGTTCCAGATATTGCTTGTTCAAAGAGGACTTGACCGGCACCAGGAAAGATGAACGGTGACTATCCAAACTGTCACCAACGGTCCAAAACCGTCGAAAAACTGACTTCACCTTCAGAAACTGTCAGCCACGTCTCGTAAACCGTTAATGCCCAGCTCTTGCTGCACTCGGGCTCACGCTGTTCCTTGAAGTTTCTCAGAAACGCTTAGTAATAACGGACACAAAAACCAAAACACCAATTGGCGACTCGAGGATTCTTTGTTGTAACACCAACATATAACCATTACTACAACTAAGGTCTGTGAACAAATAATAATAATAATAATAATAATATATATTCTCATTTTTTACATGAGGGACGCCAGTTTACAGGCATCATCAATTCGATAATTTACACATAATATTAATAAGCATATTTAGTAAAGATAATATAATAAAGTACATTTGTTTCCCTAGCTATGTAGGGTACACCACTTGTATAGGCATGCATAAATATTGTTTTAATAATAATAATATATTCCTTCCTGTTTATGCAGGAACATACCTATTGTACAGGCATGGATAAGTTATTATATAAATTACACATAATTTGATGTATAATGGACTTACAGTTTGGTTGTTCTTTCTGACATTAGAGTCAGTCGGAACAGTCTGCTATAAAGTTTGTTTGTGTAGCACATAAAGAGATATAGAAATATTGTCTTCGCATTAACAAAAAACCCAGACATCAGATGAATGTAATACAAATATCTGGGAAAAATAAAGCTTGAAGTCAATTTTCCTATATAACTTTGTTGTGAACAGCACCCTTGGCTTAAAGTTTATTGATGTATTATGTTGAGATCAGTGATATATTTATTCCATTTTTCAGCAGTCTTATCGTAGTTTCATAACAGGAAAGAAATTTGATCGTGGAGGCGAAAATTAGATAAAGTCATGCTAAGTTGTTTTACTGCATCAAATGGTCCCGAGGTCGATTCCAGAATTCTCCATTTGCTCCATTTGTGTCTGCATGGCGGACTGTACTCGTAAGTTGAGTAAAATGTTGAAAACCAGTTGCTTCTTTATTTCAGATCATGAATACTCATTTACATCGTGTCCGCCAGCTTCTTTAAATGGTAGAATTGGATCGTTCCTGGAATTTGAGTGATTATGGGATAAATGGTTTGGAATTAATCATAGCAGTTAGAATACAGTTAAACATGCAGAGAAGTACTTTTGATTCAGCAACCGGTGAATTTTTTATTCTTTTCGATCTAGTACCAGAATA